CCCCTGTTTAATGATGGACAGTTGAACCCGGAGGCTCCGCCCCTGTTTAATGATGGACAGTTGAACCCGGACGCTCCGCCCCTGTTTAATGATGGACAGTTGAACCCGGAGGCTCCGCCCCTGTTTAATGATGGACGATTGAAATCTTGAACAAGTTGATCCAAAACACTCAAGGAAACAAGATGAAGCAGCTGGTTTACGTTCAACAGGACCACCATCCATCCATCCATCCATCTGTCCATCCATCCATCCATTCTTCCATCCATCCATCCATCCATCCATCCGTCCATCATCCATCCGTCCATCCATCCGTCCATCCATCCGTCCATCCATCCGTCCATCCATCCATCCATTCATCCATCCATCCATCTGTCCATCCATCCATCCATCCATCTATCCATCCATCCATCCATCCATCCGTCCATCCGTCCATCCATCCATCATCTATCCATCCATCCATCCATCATCTATCCATCCATCTATCCATCCATCCGTCCATCCATCCATCCATCCATCCGTCCATCCATCCATCCATCCATTCATCCATCCATCCGTCTGTCCGTCTGTCCATCCATCCATCCATCCATCCGTCCATCCGTCCGTCCGTCCGTCCGTCCGTCCATCCATCCATCCATCCATCCATCCATCCATCCATCCATCCATCCATCTGTCCATCCGTCCGTCCGTCCATCCATCCATCCATCCATCCGTCCTGCAGCATCTGAAGGAGCAGTATTGGATTAAAGGCTCAGCAGGTGAACTGGTTTCAGTTCCATGTTTGGTCTCGTTTCAGGCTGTAAAGAAGTAAACTGATTCAGACTGAAACATCAGAGGAGTGAAAGAGTGAAGGAGTGAAGGAGTGAAGGAGTGAAGGAGTGAAGGTGTGCCTCCTCCAAGCACAGGCTTGTCTTCATTCTGTGTCTCATTTCAATTCAAAACCTTCAGCATCAAGATGATTCATGACAAATGTTTGGCCTCAGATGATCTGCTCACACTCTGTCTTGTTTAAAAGCTGCACGTGAAAGTCCACCAGGTCCGTCCACCAGGTCCGTCCACCAGGTCCGTCCACCAGGTCCGTCCTGACAAAGACCAAACCAGGATCTAATGTTGGATTCTTGGCTGCAGCTCCAACTGGAGCCTCTGCACAGTTCAAGGGAACAGGGATGTAAGCGTAGCTCTGCTGTGAAAACTGGACCGGGTCTTGGGCCAAACCGTTGCAGAGCAGGCTGAGCCAAAGAGGGAGGAGAGGACGATGGGTGAGACGAGGAGGAGTGCTGAGAGGTGTAATGTCCCAGAGAGCCAGAGACTGTCCTTCATCATCTTCTTGAGAGGTCCAGAGTGTGTCTGCAGAGGACAGAGCTCAGCCGCTCCCTCACTGCTACAAGACGCTTCACATGACGTGCACAGCCGAGCCATCAGACAGGAAGGACGCAACAGAGCTCGTCTCATCACAACCTGCTGCGCCAACCAGATATCTGCACGTGCACAATGAAGGCTTGTGTGGACAGGACAAACCGGGACAAACCGGGACAAACCGGGACAAAATGGGACAAACTGGTAACATTTAATCCCAGCGTGCAGAAGCTTTTTCTGTAAAGCTCCAAGGCGACGAGGACGGAGTTTATCTGGAGACAGAATCTTTACATTGAATGTTTAAAGTGCAGAGAGAGTGGACGCTGCTGCACCACCTGCAGGACAGACAGAAAGTCTGAGTGTAAAGTAAAGCTCAGACAGACGTCACTGTGAGAACTCCATGTCATGTTGAAGAAAAGACTGACCGACAGGCTGCAAGTCATCATTTACATTTGATCAAGAAACTCAACATGTGTGTACATACATGTGCAGACATGTTGTCACCTGTTCAGTGTTTCCATCAGACCAGCATGCTGCTGGTTTATCTCACATTTAAACTGGAAAACTGAAAAAAGTTTGATAAATGAACTTTATAGATGATCTGGATTTTTGTGGCTCATGTCTGGGCTGCACACTTTCAAACAAAAGATGTGCACGAGAGTGCAGGGGAGGCCACAGTGTCAGTGAGCGATGAACGCTGACGCAGAAGAAACAATTAAAAATGAAGAGCAGGAAAGTGATGTCACAGCTGTAATAAAGTGCACGTGAACTGACTCAGAGTCAACGCTTGAATTTAATCCAATGTGAAAACTTGTCGCACAAATTAAACACAGTTATATCAAACAAGCCTGAACGAGCTCTGCAGGGTCACACACACACACACACACACACACACCTGTGCTGGTTAATATTTGTGGATTTATTTCTAATTTTCTCTTTTTTTCATCAAAGGTCGACCCGTATGAGACTTTCTGTCCGAAATATCTTGAGATATTATTTATCTGTGTGACGTGGACACAGTGACCTGACAAGGAAGAAGTGTGGATAAAGATGGATGGATGGATGGATGATGGCTGGATGATGGCTGGATGGATGGATGGCTGGCTGGATGGATGGATGGATTATGGCTGGATGGCTGGATGGATGGATGGATGGATGGATGGATGGATGGATGGATGGATGGATGGATGGATGGATGGACGGATGGATGGATGGCTGGCTGGATGGATGGATGGATTATGGCTGGATGGCTGGATGGCTGGATGGATGGATGGATGGATGGATGGAGGGAGGGATGGATGGATGGAGGGATGGAGACTTTTATTGAAGTAATTCTAACAAAGCACAGCTTAACGTAAACCAATAATTAAAATAACGTGCACACTTTAAAGATGGGGTGCTGCTGCATCTTCAGTAGCTCATTAAACGTGCACACGTGCGCTGTCTCGTGACTTTTTAATGACCAAAATTAGTTCATTAAAGAAACTCCGTGAAAAATCAAGAAGAGCAGCCAAAAGAACAAAATTCATCAAGTAGGAAATAAAATTCACATTTTTCATAATTTCCTTAAAGTGAAACAGTTTGAGAAGAAACAGCCGAAGGGCCTGAAAGAGGCCGAAGATGCTGCGTCCATGAAGAGCTCGTGTGTTTCATGGACTTATGCTCAGATTTGTTGAGTAACTGGACCCAGACGAAACTTTTTCATACTCGACACACGAGAAAACATTTTGTTGTTTCATGTAGAGACTAAGTTTCAAACGCTCCTCCGCACATTGTTTCTAAAATCTACATTTATTCTGCTGTGACCGCTTTCATTATTTATTTACTCCCGAGTCCCTCTCTGTTAAACAAACACAAAGCTTTAACGTGTGAAAGTCTGTCCAACATTTACTGAGGAGAACGCAGCGCGCGCACACACACACACACACACACACGGACTCTGCTCTGGTTCAGATCAGCTCAGACATTATTTAAACCAGTTGGCTCCTGATGAGTCTGAGTTTTAGTTTGATCTGATTTGATATTTTTATTTTTATTTGAATCTGATTTTAATTTGAATCTGATTTTTATTTTTATATGATTTATTATTTTCTGATTTTTATTTTTATCTGATTTGATATTTTTATTTTTACTTTAATCTGATTTTTATTTTTATATGATTTTTTTGTTTTGATATTTTTATTTTAATCTGATTTTAATTTTAATCTGATTTTTATTTTTATATGATTTATTATTTTCTGATTTGATATTTTTATTTTAATCTGATTTGATTTTTTTAATCTGATTTGATATTTTTATTTTTATCTGATTTGATTTTTTTAATCTGATTTGATTTTTTTATTTTAATCTGATTTTAATTGTAATCTGATTTTTATTTTTATCTGATTTATTATTTTCTGATTTGATATTTTTATTTTTATCTGATTTGATTTTTTTAAATCTGATTTGATTTTTTTATTTTAATCTGATTTTAATTTTAATCAATTTTATATGATTTATTTTTTTCTGATTTGATCTTTTAATTTTCTAACGTATTCTTTTTCTGTCTGTAAAGATCTTTGAACAAACTAAGTCATTTTCGGATTTGAGAGTTTCCACGCGCGTGTCCGTTTCCAGACAGTCTCCTCATTTGATTTGAAAACTTTGCGCGTTTAAATCTTTTAACGTAAATGAAAATCCAGCCGGAGCATTTTAAAGGTTGCACATGGAAAGAACGAGTTTTCACTGAAAGTCGTGGAGTGCGTGTGAATCTCAACCAGCGCGTGACACCTGTCCCGCTCTTGCGCACACGCCTGTTTGATTCGCTTGTTGAACATTTAGAGTGAGATGAAGCTGCTCAGGGTGTGGGGGGTCCCGGACCCTGTCCTGCCCCAGGGCCTCACCTGCTCTGGTCTCTTCGAGACTCAGAAACGTGTCCTCGTGTCTTCCTGCTCTGCAGCTGCAGGTCCAAAGAGTCCTGACCCGCAGCGAGGATTCAGGACCCGAGCAGGAACCCGACTCAAGCAGAGAGACCCGCAGGGGTCCAGAGAGACCCGCAGGGGTCCAGTGAGACCCGCAGGGGTCCAGAGAGACCCGCAGGGGTCCAGAGAGACCCGCAGGGGTCCAGTGAGACCCGCAGGGGTCCAGAGAGACCCGCAGGGGTCCAGCAGGAGGTTCATGACGCGCAGACTCAGGTCACCTCCTGATCCTGATGAAGTTCCTGCTCCGACAACTTGACATAAACCTGAGTGCACGCGACTGAACACGCGCGGAGAAAGTTTTCTGATCCGCTCGAGGCGCGCGCACAGGAGATGAGCCGTGCGTCAAGACATGAGAAGAATGGATGAAGATGAAGATAACATCCTCATCCTCATCCATTTAACATGAAGTTCTTAAAGACAAACACGCGGCGTGTGCACGTGTGCTTCACCTCCAAACACTGAGCACACGCACGAGCACAAGCAGCAGGGACATTTAATAAAAATGTGAAAGATGAAGTGTTTTTAAATCAAACTGTCTCTTCTCTCCTCACGCACAGCATCACGCGCATTTTTATTATTGATTTTAATATGGACTGACAGAGAGAGTCCCGCGTGCAGCTTCAGGTGCGTCCACGCGCACCTGAAGCTGCACGCGTGCATTCAATCAATTATTGTTCAATCAGTTATTATTCAATCAGTTATTATTCAATCAGTTATTGTTCGGATCAATTATTGTTCAATCAGTTATTGT